CCCACAAAACCCTGTTTTAATCGCTACGACCATCACTACCACTACCAATTGAATATCATTATCTTAAAAGAAGCAAATAATTTGATTCGTAGCTTGGGATATTTGAATCATAATGGGGTTGTACCATAATCATGAATCAAGTTTTTAAATTCATGAAAATAATTCATGGTTTCGACTCGGATGAATCATGATTTCGGGAATCGATTTATAAAATGCCTGGAATCATAAATTATCCGTACCATTATCATGAATCAAGCTTTCAAAGCCATGAATATAGTTCCCTCGTCAACCGAAAAAGTCGTAACGCATAGGTTGCGTTACGCAGAAAAAGCTCATGAAATCATGAATATTATTCATGGTGTATATTCATAACATGAAAACACATCATATTCATGAAATCATGAGTCATTTTTCTCATTTCTGAGATTGGATTTCTTCCCGTGTAGGTAGCCGATGGTCATCACTCGAATTCGTGTAAAAAGCCATAAAAACCAACAACATGAGATACCGAAGCAGTATCAAAATACAAGCTGAAGTAAGCAGAAGCACACCGTGTCTACGTCAGTTTTTTTCCTATGGTTGTTCGATGACTCCAATTTCGGTCTAAGTGTTGAGAACAACGATCAACTTTTACTTTCGGCGTGTGGTGATCGTTTTCATTACAGTGGGAAAACTGCTAAGTTCCTCCGCAAAACATGACTTAGAGGATTATATGTGTTTGAAAGTTGTTTTTGGCGAGTTGTAGTTTTCGGTGCTGGTCAAGGGCCAGCGAAGTAAGTCCTTCGACTAACGGCACGGCGAGTATCACCATCAGTTAATTTGGATGGGTGTTTTGTATCACATACAATGATAGAAGGGCAATAGTTCGTATCGATTAACTCGATTTGTTTACATTTGTTATTTAGGACCTTTTGAAAAGTTATGCGAGAAATGTGAAAATGCGTGGCCTTACTCCTGAACAAAGAAAACGGATTGTGCTCAAATTGTGTACCGTGAGTGGCCTTTACTTAAGAAAACTGGCTAAAGAGGAGGGTGTGAGCATTGGAGCAGACAAAAACTGCCTTACGGAAGTATGAAAAATCATGCACTTTCGAAGATTATCCGAGGCGTGGAAGAAAACCTGACCCCGTTGACCCTGCAATCGACATGAAGATAAGAGATCGTTTTAAGCAGCAACCATCAGCATCAGTGCGAGATGTGGCGAAGAAGAAAAGATTGGGATTGGACACCCATCGGAAGCAGAAGCCAAAAGTAGGCTGCATTTGTGAAGACGAGAGCTCGGAAGCTGTACGACTCAATGCTGCGAAAAAAATCGGGTTGTATAATCATGGATGATGAGACATCGGCCAAAGGAAAGGATGTTCCTGAATCGGTCAAAGTCATACACCGAAAAGTTCGGCAAGAAGGTCATGGTTTGGCCAGAGTGGAAAAAAATCTCGACCATTTATAACGATAGACACAATTAATGACAACGTTTTCGCGAAGGAATGTCTGCAAAACAGATTACTATCCTTCATCAGGCAGCATGACAAACCTGTAATCTTTTGGCCTGATCTTGCTTCCTGCACTATTAAGAGGATTCGCTAGAGTGGTTTAAGAATCATAAGGTCACATATGTGCCAAAAGAGATGAATTGCTCTGAGGCTCGCACTATCGAAACTTTCTGGGCTTTGACAAAGGCAAAGTTTAGGAAACATGTTTAACCAGCGGATACAGTTGAAAAATCCAAGATAGATTGGTCTTAAGTGGTAAAAATGGTAGGCGAAGGTACCGCAAAAGCTAATGAGCAGCGTCAATGGAAAAGTTAGAAAACTTGGCTACTCTCAATAAAATCCTGCAAATTGAATTTATATGTGGAATAAAATATGATAATAAACAAAATTTGAAAATAAAATGGCCTAAACCTTATGCAAGCTTTATTGAAAATTTATGGTGGAAAATTTGCTCCATTCTGGTACATGAAGAGGCAAAGCCTGAAAATTGCACAACATTTTGGTGAATAGAGAGCATGCTCTATTGAAAATTTCTGGTGCGAAATTTGCACCGCTCTGATAAATGAAATGAACAGAAAATTTCTGATGCAAAACTTGCTCTGGTCTGATAAATGAAGGCACAAGATTTATTTAAAATTAAGCTGTGTGTGTGTATTCCCTCTAATCCCCACTGGCAGGCAGTGTTATTATGGAAGAACTCTCTCTGCAATGTCGCATTTGTGGTCATTGTAGACAGCTTTAGTCCGGGAGTTAGAAAGTGATAGCTCTATTGCAGATCCAGCAACCCATTTCAGAATGTCTGGGTCCATGGGTTCTGTAATTTTGATTTTCTCTAAGCTTTGCATCTCATTTCGTGATGCACTTTTGTCGTAATACTTCCTTTAATGAACACAAATTTTCTTGCATTGCCATGGTCATCTGGGAGGAGGTTCGCGTCTAGTGCATTCCCCATGAATAGTTCGCAGCCACCAACTGCCATCTGTCCAGTCTTGGGCGTATCCAGCGAGGCATATTTCATATTGCTCGCAATCTCACCAGCGAGAGACCAGCAGCCGAGCACTTTTGCAAGCGGAAACCTTGCTGATTCACGGCAATGTCGGCTACCGAATCACCACAAAAACTCGTGACGGACACATTATCAACACGTTCCCGGGCTAATTCACCAACCGGACCTATCTCTCAATAGAACTACACACCGAAAGTGTAGCATCCAAACTCGGAGAACCGGGCTCCCGGGAGGCAATGAAAATCGACACCGAACAATGGAACTGAAGCTGCGTCGTATATTTTGGAGGTTAGCTTCAAGGTCAACCATGCCACTCAAGGCAAACTCAGGCAAGACACGATATATCACTTAATGATAACTTTATGAACAAATGAAACTAAATTTCAGCACACAAATTAATAAATTTAAAGCCACTTACGAAAAATACGCACGTCAGCTTTCAAGCGCGGCCTACTGCAATCTCCAGATTTATTTAAAATTAAGCTATATTGAAAAATTTTGGCGGAAAATCTGCAGGGTTCTGGTGATTTGAGGAAAGCTGCTTTACTGTAAATTTATGATGAAAAATCTGAAAATAGGGGCAAGCTTTGTTTGCTGGAAATCCTGCTGGAAATCCTGCAACATTCTGATGATAAGCTATAATGAAAATGTCTGGTGGAAAATGGAAAAAAGGAAATCTGCACCAATAAGAGGATTGGAGAAGCAATTTTGATTGAACATTAACGGTGGAAAATTTGCATCGTTCTGGTCAATTGAAATTTTCTGGTGTAACATTTTCTGGGGGAAAGTTTGTATTGAAAATATCTGGTATAATATTTGCAACAGTCTGCGGCATGGAGGGGCAAGCTGAATTGAAAATTCCTGATGTAAAAATTGCACAGTTCTGGTGAATGGAGGGGCATGCTTTATTGGACATTTCTGGTAGAAAAACTACAACATTTTGGTGAAAGGACGGACAACTTAAACTTGACTTCCGAGAAGAACCTCAAGGGTATTAAGTTCTGAGGACAGTTCCAAAATAAAAGATTTCTGGGGATGATTCCATGAAAATTCTGCGAATAATTTCTAGTGAATCCTGCAGATAGTTCCAAGATAATTTCGAAAAGAATATCATATTTTAAATGAAATTCCAAAGGGGTTTTAAGCAAAATTTCGAGTGAATTCCGGGGATAATTTCTGAAACTCTAATTGAAATTTCAGTTCCAAGCTGTTTTGAGGAAAAAACATGAGTTCTTAATATAATTCCAGTGGACTTCTGAAAAAAATTTCAAAAGAGCTCTTAGGATAGTTTTAAAAAAAATCCGAGAAAGCCTCAAGGATATTGAATTCTGAGGACAGTTCCAAAGAATTTCTGAGGAGTATTCCAAGAAAATTCTGCGAATATTTTTTAGTGAATCCTGGAGATAGTTCCAAGGTAATTCCCAAAAGAATACCGAGAAAAATATTTTCAGAGCCAAGTCTACAGAATCAAACATTTTGCTGCCGGTCTTTTCGGGCGATCCAAGTTGTCCGATTCCTACAGGGTTCAGATATTGGAAGACACAATCGCAGTAATATGTACCTATGTTGGAAGTATGGAAGCGTGGAAGAATTTCAAAACCAGGAAGGGTATCGACGAAGAACTGGACCACCAAAAAACAACTATGATTGCTGCTAGAGAGGCAAAGCGGCTACAAAATCACTATAGAATGGATCGTTTCATCGATATTGTGCGCATACTTTGCAAAGGTTGCCGACAATTTCGTGGACATTCAGAAGGAGCGGAAAGTGTGCCACCCAGTTGGTGGCTAACTACGATCCTGTGCTGGAAAAACACTTGGCAGAAGGTGCCAAAAATTGCCAGTACACAAGTACCGAACCGTATTCAAAATGACATGATTACGTCGTTGCACAATGTAATGTTGCGGAACATTTCGAAAACCTTGCGAGGAAAGTCAGTGGCAATCATTGCAGATAAGACAAGCGATTGTGGCCGCCACGAACAGTTGGTGATTGTCATCAGGCATATTGATAATGATCGGCCGACGGAAACATTCGTGGGTGTGAGACGGATGTTGAAAACAAACGCGACGACCATCTTCAATGCTATTGCTGAGGTCCTGACAGCGATGCAAATTTCTTGGAAGCAGCTGGCATCACTGCTGGAGCACAAGCCATGTGCTTATTTAAAATTTAAACTTTTTCCTAGATACTTGAATAGACATAATATATTTTGCGGCTGAGTTGCCCTGCCCCCTCTTGGCTACGCCTATGGTTTTCGTGCAACGATTTATTGAATAATATCGAATACGCCATTCTGAAATATTAGGAGATGGTAAAGAAGGACAAATTCCAGCACAAACTTGGTTCATTGTCCCTAGCGAACAATTTTGGGAATTATCATGGAATTCTGCAAGTTAAAATCAAAAATATGTTCAATTGGCCTGGAACTGCTCCACTGTTGAATTTCAATTGCTTTTATTAAAAAACTAATCCAATTTACTCATCTTAAATCATTTCAGACTCCTCCCTGAATCCAGTATTCCAAACCCACGGCAATACGGGTACCTAAATTCATCGAATAACCTACAAAACAATACAACGCTGGAATTGCTACAGTGCTGAAAAACCAAACGACTAATAAATGTTGTTACCGTTATCGATTCACATAATTGTTATTTTGTGATAAAAATACTACAGCCCCGCTCGTAGCAATAAAAATAGTGAGCATAGCTTAACAATTTAAACCACGCATACAACAACCAACAAAAAAAAAGTCCAACAGCACCCAAGTGGTTGGTCATTACGCTTTCTGTGGCTGTTAAAAATTGATAATAAAAACCGAAAATAATAATCAGTGTATGACGGAAAGCAAAAAAAAAAACCCGGAGCAAAATAACACATGTCAACTAGGGTCGTGCAAGCCAACCGAGTGCTGTTCCGAGATTGACCAGAGTTGGTTTTCGGAACTATTGTTGTTGTCGACTGCGGTTTGCCAACCAGCCAGCAAATGTAAATTTTTCGAAATGTAAGTGCCGCCGTCCTTCGATTCGGAATTTTAAACGGGATTAAAAAGGAGTTAAATTCCCTGGGAACTGGGCGATCAGGTGGTTGGAACTCTGATTATAATCAGCAGCGCCCGGAGCGAGTGCGAGTGTGGCGGCGTAATTAATAGCAACGAGGGTGGTAACGAAGAGAAATTGTGAAAATGGAATAAAAATAATTAAAATTTATGCCGTTGTTAATGGTGAATGGTTTGGTATATTGCACTCTCTTGATGGTGCCGGAAGAGCTGGTGGTTGTGGTGTGGAAAAGAAATAAAACCCAGGCCATAGCCGAAAGCGGGGCTGAATCGATGTAATATCGCTTCTGGTCCACTCCCGAGCGAGAGCATGTCAGCGTAGGAGAAAATTAGCAATGGTAAAATAATCAAAGGGGGAAACGAAGGAGAAATACATCCCAGATCAACGGAAAAGGTCAAAGGAAAATGTACGCCCTAGAGGCAAAAAACGAAGATAAAGTGAAGCAAATTAATGGTCTGTGAAGTGAAATAAACGAAGCACAAAGAATAAAGTGTCCCCGCAAATCTGGAATACCACTCGAAGTGAAACATAATTTTCAATCCTGCCAACTGTTTCCACTATCTGTGCAGGCAAGTGTGTCTGTGTGAGAATGAAGTGATAGTAATCAGCTTCTAGCGAATTTCGGGAGGTGACAAAGTTGGTGCCGGATTGCAGCTTACGCCCTCCCTACTTGATCTGACTTCGAACGGAAGCTCTGACAGGCGCCAGCCGATAAGGAACCACCGTCGTCGAAGGAGGAACACAGTGGACATAGCAGTGGCCGTAAAATAAGGTAGGTAAGAGTATTTATTCCGGCACGCAGTCAGCTCTGCTGTTGTTGGGGGGGCTGTGTGTTTCTGCTTTGCTGTCCGCCTGTCGGTGCCTGCGATTCTCGTGAAGCCTAAGGGGGTGTTTCGTGTAAACTAGGTGACACCGATGCTTTTGGTTGTCTTGTTTTGGGGGGTGGTGGTGTGTACTTTTCGGTGTAAAGCTAATGGTCTGGGAATGTGAAGTGGAGCTGCGGAAGAAGTGTGTCGCTTGTAGCAAGGAAAATGTAATTTGCAAAGGTGAAGAAGGTGCGTGATTAATGGTACAATCGTTTATCAAAATATGGAGCACGTATTACGTTGAGCATTTAGGATTCCGTCAGCTCTTACATCATTGAACTAATTTGAAATTCGGAACGGACTTCCAGAGGAACGAATGATGAGGGCTTCTATTTGTTTTAATTAGTTTTGTTTATTTTGTTTCAACTGAAATTAACATTTAGGGCAGATTGTACGTTAGCCGACAAATGCTGCTAGTGTAAGCAAATAATCTTGTGCTAGAAAGTGTGGCTGAATCTGAAAAAGATCAATTGGATTTATTTGGCGATTGTAAGCAGCTTCAAAATAATCAATATATACTCATTCCATTTGTATGGGAATCAGGTATGTTACTTCAGAAATTGGTCAGTTGGTCGTTTGCTCAGTCAGCTATGGGTTTATATTTTTAGTTAAATGACCATCACGAAAATATTGCAACACTTACAACTGGCTGCATCTTTATTCCTACTAGGGGGAAATTATCCAAACTTTACATAGTTTCTCTTTGAAGTGTATTGTTTACATCCTAAAAATTGCGTTATTGACTGTTTCAATGCGGCTAAGACGGAAGTGAGGCAAGTAAAGACGAGTGGAAAAAATGTGTACGCTCACATGGAAAATCCGGAGCTGTTCATCGTGCTTTAGGGAGAATACTGAATGTCAGTAATTCAACCGTATCAAGAGTAATAAACAGGTTCAAGGACCGGTTGACATTGGATCACAAGCACGAAACAGGAAGGAAACCGGGAGCAGCATGTAGGAAGACGAAGCAAAGGGGAAGGGTAATTTCATCCGAAATCCGAACATTTCAACACGTCATGATGCCAAAAAGGTCGGTGTTTCGCAAAGCCACGTGCAGAAGGTCAAGGAAAGAGCTGGATTACATGCATTCAAGGTTCAAAGCTTCCCAACCCACGATGAACAGCAGCCAACTGTTGCCAAAACCCACGCAAGGAAGCTTTATACGGATTTGTTGACCAGATACAGTTGCTGTGTGATGGATAATGAAACATACGTCAAAGCTGACTTCCAGCAAATACCTGGACAGGAGTTTTACACTGTAAAATACCAGTTCTAAGTGGATGATCGTTTCAAGAAAAATAAAATGTCTATTGATGCCAAAATATCTTATTTGGAAGGCTATCTGCACCTTTGGAAAATGAAATAAAATATTCCTCCCAAAAGGCACCATCAATGGTGAAAATTACAAAAACTGAATGCCTCCAAAAACGTCTGCTGCCATTTTTGAGACGGCACAGTGCAAAAACCATTGTTTTGGCCGGACTTAGCTTGATGTCACTATTTTAAAACTTCGCTAAAATGGTATGAGGCTAATTCGGTGCATTTTGTCCCCGAGGACATGTATCCACCGAACGCCCAAGAGAAACCAATAGCCCAACAAACATTTTTGCTGTATAAAACCGGAATAAGCTTCCTTCTAGTTGAATAAGCATATTTTTGGCTGAATAACCTTCTCTCGAAAGCTCTCGAATAACAAGTTTCTGAGCTTTTTCCGAATTTGTGATCAAAATTTTACCACCGTCTTTAAGCGCTGGACTAGGCTTTTGAGGTTTTTTTTTTCCACAACTTTTGTGAACTTCCAAAAAGGTTTGGAATTCGGGTCTAATTTAGAAACATTATTTTCAAAAGTGTTGTTCCTCAGGTCAGAGAATTGCTTTTTAATTTGTTTTGCAAATCCCTCCAGATAACTTTCAGGGCAGCATCGCGTATTCTTTGATATTGCCTTCTACGGACATTTTTCAGGCGGATCAAGAGCTGAAGATCGTTGTATTGTATTACAATTGAATCGAATTTAACCTCGCATTTTGGGACTGAGCCAGTTCTCGCTTCAACTATAGAAGTGGTCAAAGATTTAAGAGCATAATTAACATCATTTTTGATTTGCAAAGGAATGTTTGGATCGAAGCTATATTCCATAAATGTTCGATATTGCTCCCAATCAGCTCTATGGTAATTGAAAATAGAGCTGTTGGGATTACTGATTATTTTTAGGGATTTCTTACTGAAGAAAAGCATGTTGGGCTGTTTGGATATTGAATAGTGTAATAACCTGCAGAACAATCATCAAACAGAATATTACCATTGGAATTGCTTTGAGCATTATTCCATGAGCGGTGTTTTGCATTAAAATCACCAATAATGAAGAATTTAGACCTATGACGGGTAAATTTCTGAAGGTCACCCTTGAGATAATTCTTTTGCTGGCCTTCACATTGCACGGGCAAATAGACATTTATAAACGTAAGTTGGTCAAATTTTATTTCAACAGAAACTCTCATAGTTTCAATAACTTTGGATTCAAATGAAGAAAGAATTTTATGTTTGATTCGTCTATGAACAATGATGGCAACGCCATCACAGGCTCCATCAAGACAATCATTTCTATAAATGAAATAATTTGCGTCTCTTTTAACTTTATGGTCAGGTTTTCGGAACGTTTCAGTTATAACGGCAAAATGCACGTTATGAACTCTCAAAAAGTTAAATATCTCGTCTTCATTATCTCTAAGAGATCGAGCATTCCAATTTAAAATATTTAATTTTATCCATTACTGAATTTCGCAAATTTTACTCCAGTTTGAATAGCATCTAACATAGAGTTAGATTTAAGCATATCAGTAATCATGTCAATTAATGATTTTTGTAAAAAATCCATTTTAGGAGCAGTAATGCTTCCTTAGTAAAATTTTTCAAAATTTCCATAAGAATTACGTTGATTAGTATTTTGATTTCTACCCGGTGCAATAGCAGCATAGGTAGCTCCATTAGCTCGCTAAACATTGTTAGCAACGAGAGGAGCAGGTATAGATGAAGAATTTGAAGCAGGGGTGATATTTGTACTTACGGGTACGAATGTACAATTTGTTCCTCGCTGACCGTTGTTACCAGCAGTGGAATTTGTACCTGGTCGGAAACGTGGAGCGTTTCCTACCTGTCACTTAGAACGAGATTGTAGGATCGTGTAAGACTCGCATTATATTCCCACAATTTGAACATTTAAATTTTTTAGGATCTTGCTTCACAGGACAGTCGTCCTTTGCGTGAGAGGAATCACCACAATTCATGCATTTAGCTGGCATGTAGCAATTTTTGGTTCTGTGACCCCATCCCTAGCATTTACGGCACTGGGTGAGGTTTTGGAAATTTCATCCAGTCTTTCTGAAGTGTTCCCATTTCACTCGGACATGGAGCATAAGAATAACTTTAAGGTTTTTTAGTTCACTAGTTCCGTGCGAAGAGCATGGAAATCGGAAGTGGTTATCACAATAGGGGGAATCTTGGCATTTAGCCGGGAAAGTTTACTAGAATTTTCCTGGATAATGGATCATTCTCATCATCCGTGAGCAAATCAAATTGATTGCTCAAATTAATTTCATCAGAAGGGGGATCAAGAGAAATCCCTTTTTTCTTGTGGTTAGGTCATGGTGGCAGTAAAATTTTTATCCAAATCGGCTTCTAAGCAGATTACTTTAAGAATCTAAAGGATCGAAGAGGAATTTTCCAAATCGATATCCAAGAAGGATTACCTCGGGTAGGGTCCAAACAAGGATCGAAGAAGAATAAGAGTCAATCATGGTAGAAAATTTACAGGTGTATTGAGCACTGAAAAGTGCTGTTTAAATTTGTTGTAGCTTTAGCTAGTAGTAACACTACCTTTAGCAAATAAATCCGCACGGCAAGAGAGCACGATGCGCACTGAAGCAACCCTCTTAAAATTGATCCAATATATATCTACTGAGCTAAATACACGTATAAAAACACCCTACTAATTTGGTTTTATCTGATACATATGTGAAATTTGAGAGTAAATTAAATGTGATGCAATAATTTCGTGTTCACCTTTAAGATTACCAAGTAAAGTACATGGTAATTAAACAAATAATTCTATTGGAACTGTAAGGATAAAACCCAGCCCAAGCAACATTTCTGGATTTAGTATGGTTCTAAAGACCATGATTTAGACATGTATAATACTTTAAGATGTCAATAATACTTGCAATGTTGCTTGGGAGGAGCATTACAAAAGAAATTCTAGGCAAAATTAAAAAAAAAAACTCTCAATTCAAATGACGAATATGGGAAAACCCAAATTGCACCGGAAAATATCACAAACACGCATCCCAAGTAACAATTTTGGTTTTATTATAGTCTTATATGTCATAATTTGGTCTTGAAGAATCCTTCGAGGCTTAAAAAAACTTGCAGTGTTACTTGAAATCAATGATTTTTTTATCACATTCATCTACACATCTGTTTAATGTGTTTCACTTTGGTAAAGTATTTAAAAATCTTCAAAATTATTGCACATTTTACTCTCACTCGCAATCTATTCGTACACCGTGCAATCAGGGATTTTGCTGTTATTCCTACCACGATTGCTTACAGAGTTATTCTTTGAGAATTTATTTTGGTGTGGCTTTAATAAAAAAAATGAGATCTGAACTCCAGGCATTTTGGTTAACCATCTTTCACGACGGTTTACCCATTCTATCATTAAGTCGAATATTTGTATACCTTGTTGAGTCTGCAGAACTTCAAGATCAGATATCCGGGATGAGTTGGATAACCCAACAATGTTATTTTCAAGAACATATGTTGGTAACACATCTTTGTATTTCACAAAATGTTATTTGGCTTATATAACTTAGAGATCTAAACACCAGCAAGGTTTGAAGAACTTGTAATA